TGGAGGTAGTAGCGAGGTCATTTAATAGTCAAGATGAGAGAGCATCTTGACTGTTACAACAACATCCAACAGTCCAATGAAATTCTGTGACCAACCCCTGAACTAGCATAAGTTAGAACCATACCTGGGTGAATGCAGAAATAACCTGATTATAATTGTACCTACCTAGGAAGCAGAAGAAATTAGGAGCTGAGGAGACAGAAAATTAGGTGTTTGCAGCTCTGCGATTGTCCAAGTAACTGTGTGATACAAGTAGGTTGAGGTTAAGAGGCAGTTAATAAAGGTTACAGACAAGGGTGGAAATACTTGTTTTGGGCCCTGGAGATGCTCTTAATAAGCTGGGGAATGACTGGCTTATCTAAGTGGTGCTCCAGGTTAACAGATAGGTGGTGTACTGCTGTGGAGCAGCTAGAAAATGGCAGCACAACAGGTAACTGTCACCTAATAGGTAGCATCTGTATCTATCCGCGAGCTTCATGTTGGATTGCTTCCGGTTCTCGGGGAGGGCCTGAGTATATTTCATTTATTTTGGTCATTCTAGCTGAGGAAATGCAAGAGCCCTCAAAACTTTGTCCTTTTTGTGGTTAAACAGGAGTGACAATAAGAGAAACACATCAGTTGAATATTTTCAACATAATCTCTAGCTAATCTATAACAATTATCCTCTGAGAAGTTAGACACCGTATATACTCGTGTATCAGGTGTATAAAAGCTGCATTTTTAATGCCGTTTTTTGTGGTAAAATTAGGTGCCTCAGCTGATATTCTGGTCAGCTTATACTCAAGTATATATGGTATCTATTTAATGAACAAGCAAACTTGCTGACATCGAGTTGATGCCGACTACTTGGATGGATAAAAATTAAGTGCAATGAACCAGGCATTTAAAAAATAGGATCCACCATGCTGGAGCCTTTACTTTGCACATCTTCTTTATTTTGGCTGCAGAGGTAAGATAGCCACATCCTGAATTTGCATACTAAGGACATGATTTAAATTAATGCAGTTTGCTATGTTCATTTTTGTCCACTAGACCAATTAAAATCAATTAGTTTGTTAATTACAAGTTAAAATTTAGTCTTTTGGAGCTCCTGGCTGCCCGTGTGGTGAGAACAGTACGGTGTTGAAAGGCTCCAGTGTCTGGCAGATAATGAGCAGGGCAAAGAGGTAGAGGACAGAGCAGAAGCTGTGCCCAGTCTTAGAGAAATTCCGTTGTCATCCCAGTCATTTGGAGAAGACAGTGCCCTAAGCAAAAGTTCCTTGTGGACCACTGATCTCAT